CACAGCTGCCCCCCATGTCCAGCCCAAGCCATGGCTAGGAGGGCAGGAGCGGAGGTGGGGGGATTCCCAGGCGGAACTGACATTTCAGAGGCCAGGGCCAGAGGGCCCTAGGCTCCAGGCCCCCTCTCTGTCCCTCCCTAAGTGACCCAGGCAAAGCCCTCACATCTCTGAGCCTATCTCCCCCCACCGTGCCCACAGGCAGCCTCCTTACTCCCAGGGCCCCAGTGGGGCGCTGGCCTGGGAGCACACTGTGTCAGCGGCAGGACTGTTTCCCCGAGGCACCCGGGGCTGGCTCAAGCGGCTCAGCAGTCTCCTGGGGCCTCGGCAGGCTCCCCACCCGCCCTTGGCCACGACTGGAAGAGGGGGCCAGGGGCTGGGCCTGAGTCCCCTCCCAGGCAGCCATCTGCCAAGGCAGTGGTACATGTGCACACATACCCCACTCAAATGTCAGGTGACTTCTTAGGCAGTGGAGTCAAGGAGCCTGAGGCGATCCCAGCCAAACCCCCCCCCCCCCCCCCCCCCCCCCCCCCCCCGTTATGGCCTGGAAGAGTCTCATCCCCTTACCATCTCCCACCAGAGAGATGGCGTCTGGAACTGATGGGGAAGGTCTCTTTTGCCCCCTATCCCTCCCTCCCCACCCCCCGCCCTGCCCATTATACGTCCCAGCTCTGTGCTCCCAGGCTCCTCCCAGCCTGCCCACCAGTTAACCAGAACTCCCCGTCCCACCTTGGAGGGGGCATGAAGGCCAGTGCTCCCTCCCCCCATCAAGATGCCCAGAGCCAGGGCCTCTCCTGTGCCCAGCTGATAGAAACATCCAGTCGGGACGGTCAGACAACTGGGGCTCCCTGGGGACCAGCTGTGTGGCAGCTCTGAGCGCCCCTGGAAGAGAACCAGAGCTGGGAGCGAAAAGAGGGCCAGGGACCCTGGCCGATCTGGGCCAGGCCTCACGTCTCCCACGGACAGGTCTGGAGCAGAGGCCAGGGGGCCCAGCACAGGGGAAGGACAGGTGCTGGGGGCCCAGTGTGCACAGCTGCTGGGGCCACTCGGGCTCCCCTCAGGAGCAGGGACCGGGCTGGGAACCTGGCCATCGGACACCACCGCTGCCGCCACGGCAGACCCCAGGAACGGGGACCCCCCCCCCCCCCCCGGGCCCACATGCCCTTTTCCAGGCCGAGCTTCCGTTTCCTCGTCTTTCCAATAGGGACCAACGAACTGTCTCACAGGGCTAGGGTGTCAATGCCTGCAAAGTTCACGGGGCCAGTGGACGGCACTACGATTTTTTCAGGGAGTTGTTACCAGGCGATCCACCCAAGCTGCTTTCTCCCTGACCCACTTCTCCCCCACCCCTCCCGGGGGACCTGAGATGGCACTTTTATTCCTTGCGGAGACTGCGGAGGTTTACGGGGTTACGTGGGAGCCCGGAGAGAAACCTGGGTCTACTCCACGCTGTGCCCCTCAGAGAGACCCCACACCCCCCCGCGAGTCCTTCTCTGTCCTAGCGTCAAAGCAGCTGCCTCACTCCGGGCTGATCGGCACAGCACGGGAGTCCCTGCCTGGCCACACCTGATTCAGAATTCTCCAGGTGCGAGCCGAGGCGAGCGGGAGAAATCCTGGGCAGACGTGTCCCAAGGGCCTGGAAGGAGCTGTGGTCCCCAAGCTCAGGGCCGGGGCAAGGCTGGATGTGCTGGCATTCTGAGAGAGATGAACCTTTAGACACATGCCTGGGCCTCAGCCTCTCTCTAGGGCCCTTTCACAGACCCTGGAGGGGGAAACAACTCAGGCCCTGGAGCCGGGGGGGGGGGGGGGGTCCACATCTTTCTGGCTGGCCCCAAAGAGCCCCTCACCAGCTAGCGATGCTCCCCACCTCGGAGGAGGGCACTTGTCTGGGTGAAGGGAGGATCACTCAGGACCTTGCAGGGCTCACTCCTCTGACTTAGTCATCTGTGTGCAACGTACAGTGACAGCCATAGCCCTGAGGAGAGGCTGATTCCCATTCCACCTGGCTCAGGCCTCCCCACCGCACTCCGCATTTCCCACTTGCATAAGAGGCCTCTTCCGCCTGCCTCCCCTGGGGCTCCCCTGGGGCTCCCACCTCTTTCCTCCCCTGGGCAGCACACCCCACGGGAGGAAAGAGGTGGGAGCGGGAGCCTGCCCTGCCCTGTCCAGCCCCTCCCCCCTGCCCGACGGCCCACCCCAAACACCTTCCGAAGAGCTCAACTGCAGGCTCCACTCCCACATCTGGTCCCCCGGCCGCACCCTGGGATTGCCCCAAACTCTGCCCGGCACCCGCCCCCGCCCCCTTGCCTAAGTGGGAAATTGGATGAAAAACCCACACGGGAAAATATCAGGAAAACGCATTCTTCTTTCTATACCACAGCTCAGACCCTGGAGGATTAGGTGGCAGAAGATACTCCCACTGCCCAGGGCCAAGGCCAGGCCAGGGAAGGAAGAGAGAGAAAAATGAGGGCCCCACAGTGGGGCGGAGAGGGGTCTAGACACACACACACACACACACACTCACACACACACACACCCCCGCCAAACAAGCCCTAGGAGGAGACCTGGAGAGCTTTGTCTCCTTCACATCAGTCCAGCCTCTCACCCTCCACGGGCACTCCCAGAGCGCCAGCCAGGGAGCCAGGCAGGAGAAGACATGGCTGTGGCTACCCATTTGCAGCTGGGCTTTTAGAAACAACAAAAGCCTGGGGGGCGGAGGGGGGGAGGAGACGTGGTTCACACGATTGTTTAAAGTGAGGTTTTTGGATGTCTGTGGCATCCAGTTATTCATACTGGCTCCACCCACGGACAACTGAGAGTTGGCTTTTGTTGGCCTTACCCCTCTCTCAGCAGGCCTCCGCCCCCCAGGTCTTCTCAGGGACTCTGGAGCTCAGGAAGCTCACCTTGTCTGACCCCTGGTGTGACAGATGAGGAAACTGAGACCCAGAAAGGGAGGAGCCTGGCGCAGACACCTCTGGGCGTTGGTGGCCCTGCCGGGACTGGGCTCCAGAATGTCCGACTTCTCGGTGGGGGCTTTTCCCACTCCCCCTCCAGGCTGTGGCCCAGCTCCGGCAACCCCCTCCCCCTCCAAAGTCACTAACCCCAAAAGCCGTGGTGCCTAGAAGTGGGGTGACTCACTGTCTGGCTTCCCGGTGTTACCCCTCCTCATCAGCGAGGGAGGAACTGGCAGGTGTCCCTCTGGAAAGAGCCAGGAGCAGGGAGAGGCCCCCCAGGGGGCCTGTGCCAGGGTCACTCAGAGGGCGAGGGGCCCCAGCTGGAGGGATTTAACACCAAAGGTGAAAGGTCGCAGACAGGGAATGGTGGGCAGGCATGGGGGGGTCAGCGGGTCAGCACTAATGGCAGCTCCGGAAAGGAGGGGGAGGAGAAGGGGCTGAGGAAAACAGGGCTGCTTCCAAGAGGTCCCCAAACCGCCTGACTGGTGGCCCAGATTCCTGGCCACGGCCTCCTGCTTGGTGGGCTGCACACAGTGCCACGCTGGGCCGGGAGTGGGCTGCAAAGTGAGCTCGCTGAAGCTCAGAAAGGGGTGTCCTAGAGGGGCCCCCAGGTGCAGCCCCTCCCCCAAGACAGGCCAAGACCAGCTGGGAGGCCCAGCTGTGGCCCAGAGGGGAGAAGGAGGAGCAGAGAGGGGGAAGGCTGCAGGTCATGGGGAGGGACGGCTGGGCTGGAACAGCTGTGGCACCGTGGCACTGGCGGGGCTGGGTGGGCAGGCGGACGGAAGGAGCCCGTCTCCTTGTCCCCGAGTCTGGGGGCTGAGGAAGCCCTCCCCAGGGGAAACGCTGGGGAGCAGAGCACCCTCCCTGGCTGTCTGCAAAGCCCCACCTTCTCTGGGACCTCTGGGATGGCTGTCTCCCACGACCACAGCTAGGTCCTGTCCCTGGTCCAGACCAAGAGTCACAGCAGCCCAGGTCCAGGTCCAGGGCTGGCCTGGCTGCCCCTTCAGTGTCAAGCATTCTCTTCGGAGCCAAGATCCTGGGCTGAGATGGCTGGGGGCCCAGGGCTCCTCCCAGGATCCCTTCCCGCTTCCCAGGCCCCTGGGCAGGGCTGGGTCGCTGGCTGCAACCATAGCTGCCCTCGGTGGGGAGGGGGTGGGAGGGGGGCGGGACGGGCCAGGCGGGCCCTCCTGGACAAGAGACAGGCGGCATGCTGCCCTGCTGTGGCCTGAGTACCCGGCTGGGCAAGGCAGCGTGCCAAGGCCTCCAGGTGCCAGCCTGGATTCCAGCCCCATCCCAGGGGGACGGGGGGAAGCAGGGCACAGGCATTTCCCTCTCTCCAGGTGCACCTGCCTCGCCCCCTCCGGACCTTTCCTCAGGAGGGTCAGGTACCCCTGCCCTCCCCACGCTGCCGGGCCCCCTGCCTGCACCGAGGCAGCAGGGGTTGGCACAAGCGCTGGACAGGACTCCAGCTCCTGGTCCAAACGCGGCGGCGGCACCCCTGTCCTGAGCCTCCGGGGCGCCCCCCTCCCCTGCCCGAGGAAGGGTCGGGTCTAACCAGGGTCAGAGACTTTCAGGGACAGGGAAGAGCCACCTTTCAAACCCCGTTTTGGACGCAGCCGTTAAAGGGGGAGGCTGCCCAGCAGCCCCACACAACTTCTTGCCCAGGCGGGGGCAAGGGGGGGTCCCACTCCGCCGCGCGCCCCCCCTGCGGCCGCCCAACTTCCCCGCCGAAGTTTGCTGCTGCCCCGGCTCCGGCCCCGGCCCGGCGCGGCCGCAGGACGGACGGACGGACGGACGGAGGGCAGAGGGAAGAGAAAGACACAGAGACCAAAGGACGGAGGGAGTCGGGGAGCCGGCGAGAGAGGGAGCGCGCCAGCCAGCGAGCGAGCGAGCGAGGGCGCGAGCGCGGGGCCCCGGTGAGGGCTCACAATGGCCCGGGGCGAGGCGCGGGCGCGGCGGGGGAGGCGACCCCCAGCCCGCGGCCCCCGCGCGGCCGCCGGACCCCCGCGCGGCCCCCCGCCCCACGACGCGACGCCGGGGGCTCCCTACCTCGGCGCGGCGGGGCGCGGGCTCCGGCGCGGGCTCCGGCGGTCGGGCGGGCGGCGGGGGCGCGGGGAGGGGCCGCAGCGGGCGGGGGCCGGGGCGCAGGCTCAGCGGGCGCGGGCTCCCCTGGCGCGGCCGCCCGGCACCCGGCCGCTCCGCCACATCTGCAGCTCCGGCGGGGAAGGCGGCCGCGGCGGCCGGGCCGGGCCGGGATGTCTTGCGGAGGGAGGGAGGGCGGAGGGCGGAGGGAGGCGGCGGGAGGAGGGGCCGCGGGCTGCGGAGGAGGGGAGGAGGAGGGGCGCGGGGGGCGGCCGCCCTCCCTCCGCCCTCCCTCCGCTTCCCTCCAGCCCTCCCCGCACAGCCCCCTCGCCGCCGCGGCCCCAGGCCCGGGGCGCCAGCTGCCAAGCGGGGAGCGAGGCCGGGGGAGGGGAGGGCGGGGAGGGGAGGGGGCGGCCGCGCGGGCGCCGGGCGGGGGAGGGGAGGGGAGGGGAGGGAGGGCGGAGGGCAGCGAGGCGGCGGGGAGTCGGCTCCCGGAGGGAGGGAGGGGGCGCGGGCCGGGAACGTCCTCTCCGTCCCCATCCTCGGGCTCCCCCCGCGGCCCCGCCCCCAGGCCGAGGGCAGCGCTAGGACACGGCCTGGAGGTGGCCCGGGGGCGGCGGGGGAGGGACGGCCCGCCCTCGGGGAAGCCCGGGGCGGGGGCGGGCTCGCCGCGGACCGAGGGGGCTGCAGGGGGGCGGGGGGGTCCAGAGGAAAAGCCCCGAAAACCCGGGAGATGAAGGAGGAGGGGGCGGGGCCCATCCCCTCCGCCCATCCCCTCCCTCCCGCGGGGTCACCTTGGCCAGGCCCCCCGCAGCCCCCGGCGGCGACGGGGAGGGCGGCCAGAATGCCTCCCGCCGCCGGCCCGGATCTCTCCGCCCAGCCCAGTTCCAGGAACGCGCGGGCAGCGCCCGGCAGCCAGAGGCCCCGGCGCCGGATTCGGGGCAGCGCGCGCCGGGGTTCGAGGCTGGGCTCCGCGCCTCCCGCCGCCCAGCGCCGCCCTGGCTCCCCCCCACCCACCCCCGCCTTTCCTTCGCCTCAGGCCCCGCACAATGGAACCAGGACCCGGTCTGACCCGGGGAGGCCCGGGCTTCCTCTTGGCCGCAGGCTTGGTCACAGCAGTTGGGGGCAACCCGTGTCCTCCAGCTGGAGCGCCAGGGGGTCCTTGATGCAGCGAGCTCCCGCAGCGCTGCGCCCAGCGCCGTGCGGGTTAGAAAGTGGAACGAGTGGATAGAAACGGGGGAGAAAGCCCCGAACCTGCACCCGCTAAATTGTTCCTCCCTCCTGATGGTGAAACCAGACTGGTGTGCTGGAGGGTGTTTTGTTTGAGCCCATCTGGAGCCCTCCCACCCACTTACCTTCTTGCTGTTCTGAAATTTGTTTTTTGTTTTTATATTTTACTGATTTTTTACAGAGAGAGCCAGAAACACCGATGAGAGAGAATCATCCATCAGCTGCCTCCTGCACACCCCCCACCTGCAACCAAGGCACATGCCCTTGACCGGAAATCGAACCTGGGACCCTCCAGTCCGTAGGCTGATGCTCTATCACTGAGCCAAACCGGTTTCGGCCAAACCTTGGTTTGAAGAGAGCCCTGCTGCTGTGGGCCAGCCCTGCCCTATGCAGGTGGCCTTGAGGAGTCAGGCAGACAAAAAGCACCTTCTATAGGTGAGGCATCCACCTCTGGGCCTAATTCCACCTTCATCCTCATCCGAGTATTGGGTGGCGCAGCGCGTCTGGCCGGCCGCCGGAGCACACAGCATCCCCAGGGCCTGGCACAGTGCTCCGCACATAGTAGGTGCTCATGAACTGTTACGTGGAGACACAGTAGATTCTTATTATATTTTGGGCAAATAGATATACAGTAGGTGCTCATGACTGTTTCGTCGATGGACACAGAATAGGTGTTCATTCCATTTTGAGAGAATAAACACATAGTAGGTGCTCCTGGCCTGTTGCATTAAGGGACACATAATAGCTGTCATGACTGTCGTGTGAATAGACACCAAGTAGGTGCTCATGGGCTGTGTAGTGATAGATGAAAGACCCAGTAGGCCCGGAGGTAGTGATTTGGAAGTAACCCCACCCCCACCCGGGTTTCCCTCGTGTGGATAATGTGGAGTGCGGTCGGGTTAAACATTAGTGAGCAGATGGGCCCGGTGGGAAGTCCAGCTTTGCTACCTAGCGCCTCCCAGGAGAGGGCTGTTAAGGGCCGACTCACTGGGTCCAGCGGGTGCGTTGGGAGGGGCGGAGTCTGAGGGACGCAGAGCGCCCCCTCCCGGCGTCTGGGATCGTGGGGATTCAGCCCCTAACTCGGTGTCACAAAGTTTGATCTCTACCAGGCCAGGCTCCAGGCCCTCAGGGAGTCCACGTGTATGAAAAAGGTACACAAGGGCTAATTTTATATCAGTTAAAAATGCTTACGAATGTTTGCAGGGTGCCAGGCACTGTGCAGTAGTGCAATAAAGAGTGACAGCCTCGGTTGCCCTTGCTCTCCTGGAGCTTATAGTCCAAGAGGAGCTGGATCCAGTGACCAGGGAAATCCAGTGATCTGCGAAGCATAAAGGGGACTTGACCATAAGGAACCTTCACCCTCAGAGGAGGAAACTGAGGGCACAGGGAGGTTAGGTAACTTCGTCAAGTTCTTAGAAGCTGGGGCATCAGAGGGCAGGATGGGGTTTTGAGGCATCCAAGAAGGCCAGCCTCTGAGAGGGCTTCAGGGGGGTTACCTTTTCCAGGAGGCAACAGCTACTACAGCAGTCTGTACAGGACTGGCTTCCTCCTCCTCCTTCTTTTATACATATATATATATATATATATATATATATATATATATATAATGTTTAATGATTTTTAATACAGAGGAAGGGAAAGGGATAGAGAGATCAGCTGCCTCCTGCACACCTCCTACTGGGAATGTGCCTGAAACAAGGTACATGCTCTTGACCCGAATCGAACCTGGGACCTTTCAGTCCTCAGGCCGATGCTCTATCCACTGAACCAAACCAGTTAGGGCTGGCTTCCTCCTTCTTAGTAAAAAGTAGGTAAGGAGACATGTCCTCTTTTCCCACCATTATGCTGAGTTTTCTCTCTCTAGAGTCCTTACTCTGAGCATTCATTCTTTACTACCCATTCCCTCCCTGTTATATCCTAAATTCCCCAAGGAGTAGGATACGAGGGCATTATTTGCTTTGTCACTCCCTCTGCAGAGTTCCTCCCAGAATCTGGAATATATAATAGTATATGCTTCATAAATATTGCTGTTATGAATTGAATGTTTGTGTCCTCCCTGAATTCATAGGTTGAAGCCCTAAACACCAATGTAGCTATATTTGCACATGGAGCCTTTAGAAGGTAATTAGGTTTAAATGAGGTCATAAACGTGGGTCCCCGTAATGGGATCAGCACTCTGAAAAAAAGAGAGATAAGCCCTAGCCGGTTTTGCTCAGTGGATAGAGTATAAGGCTCTGGACTGAAGGATCCCAGGTTCGATTCTGGTCAAGGCCACAGGCTCAGGTTGCGGGCTCAATCCCTGGTATGGAGATGATTCTCATCATTGATGTTTCTATTTCTCTTTCCCTCTCCCTTTCTCTCTGAAATCAATAAAAGATATTTTATTTTTTATTTATTTATTTTTTAAAATATATTTTGTTGATTTTTTACAGAGAGGAAGGGAAAGGGATAGAAAGTTAGAAACATCAATGAAAGAGCAACATCAATCAGCTGCCTCCTGCACACCCCCTACTGGGGAATGTGCCCACAACCTAGGAACATGCCCTTGACCGGTATGGAATCCAGGACCCTTGAGTCCACAGGCCAAAGCTCTATCCATTGAGCCAAACTGGTTTTGGCAAAAGTTATTTTAAAAGAGAGAGATATGATCTCTCTCTCTCTTTCCTCTCACTTTCTCTCTGCTTTGTAAGGACACAATAAGGTGGCCATCTGCAAGCAAAGTAGGGAGCCCTCGCCAGGAAGTGAACCTGCCAGCACTTTTATGTTGGATTTCCTAGCTCCCAGAACTATGAGAAGTAAATGAGTGTTGGTTAAGTTCCCCAGTCTATGGTATTCTGTTATAGCAGCCTGAGTTGACTAAGAGCATTACAGATAGATATATTTTGGGGACTGAATCTTCTCCCCTAATCTTTCATCAATCAACATTTATTGAACATCTGCTAGGTTCCCATTCATTCAACAGATGCTTATTAAGCTATTATTATGTGTTCATTCAACAACATTTATTGAGGATCTACTGTGTGCCCAGGGTTAGACAACCCCATCCATGTCTTCAAGGAGATATCTCAATCCATTGGCTACCCCCTGTCTCTCAGTACCCAGAAGGGAAGTGGCTAATTTATTCACATACTTTCTTTAATGCACAATGCTAGTTCCAGCAGGGAACTCAGTATACAGTTTCTCTTTTTCCAGAACCTTTACTCTATCCAAGGAGCTGAGAGTGAACATAAAGAAGTGAGTCTTAAAAACTATATTGCAGGCCGAAACCTGTTTGGCTCAGTGGATAGAGCGTCGGCCTGTGGATTGAAGGGTCCCAGGTTTGATTCCAATTAAGGACACATGCCAGGGTTGCAAGCTCCATCCCCAGGAAGGAGTATGCAGGAGGCAGCCAAACAATGATTCTCTCTTGTTACTGATGTTTCTATCTCTTTCTCCCTCTCCCTTTCTCTCTGAAATCAATTTAAACAAAACAAAAGCCCTACATTGCAGACATAGGAGAAATGACAGGAACTAAGATAGATGAACGGCAGCAGACCATGAACTCTGGCTCTTGAACTTAGCCCAGCCATCGGATCTCCCTGACCCTTAGTTTCCTATCTATAAAATGGTGGTTCTCCTGCCTATTACAGGGCTGTGTGAGGCTCAGGGGAGAGGGTACACAGGGGACTTCCACCAATGCCTAGGGGGGAGAAGGAGCAGGGCAACAAATGGTAGCTATTATTATTGAGAAGCTCTGCAACCTACTGTGCGTGGGACCAGGCACAAGGATAGAATGATGGAGGGAGTGAGATCAGGATGACTTCTTAACCTTGAGCTGGCAGCCTGATGAACATCTCTCCAGTTGGCACTGTCTTGCCATGCCTGCTGGCTTGCTGTGTCTGCAGGGCAGGGACAGACTATGGGTGGGGTGTTTATTCTGGGAAGCAGCCCTGGCTGCTCCTCACACCCTACGCCAGTGAGAAAGGAGGGCTTC